GCAGGAATACCAGGTGGTGTGGGATAGTTTGAAGTGACCCTAGGCAAAATCTCATCCATCAGGGACATATCTAGAGGCAACCTGTTAAGGGCTAGGATTGAGATACTAGGAAGCTTCAGGCTGGGAACAAAAGCAAGCAAACAAACAAAAAAACTGACAGAAAGAAAGAGCATAGAGAAATGTGATAGTGAGGGGCTGGCTTGAAAAGGGCACAGCCTGGAGGTCAGCCTGGGTGATTCTCACACTATAGGGAATGTGTGAATTTCCAGGGAAACATATCCCAGCGGGCATAGGGACAGATAGGGACAATTTCCTGAGCACCTAGAAAGTGCCAGTCCTGATGCTACGTGAGGACCTCTCACATGTGATTATCGCTCATGTCACAGCGCCCTTACAGGGCAGGTGGCGCTTTGCTTTTGTTTGTTTTGCCTTTTCCATCTTCTTCATTTTACAGGAGAGGAAACCGGAGACCAGAGAGGTGAAGAAACTGTTCATGCTCACACAGCTACTCAGGGACGGCTCTGCTGTGGTGGAAGGGTTGCCAGGTCACCCTCCTCAGCACCACTCCAGCTCAATCCTGTGTCCTGGTGACTCCCTGGTTTCCTGCTCAGCTTGATGGGGCTCTTCGTATCGGAGGCCCCAAGACACAAGTAAAGAGGAAGAGAGTTGCTGGACAAGTTTCCAGTGGGTCCCATCAGAACATAGGGAAATAGAATCTTCCAGCACTTAGTGAATTACAAACTTCCAGGGAGTCCTGTTTGGGTCACAGCCCTTACCCTCCAGATATAAGTTGTTGGTATGAAACTGAACTAAAAAATGGCTTCTCCAGTTGCTCCCAGTTGAGCTCTTGGACCCAATAAGGGAAGAGACAGCTTCCTCCTTTGACTTTTTGTTATGGCTTTCATTGTCTTGGGCCAAGAGGAGGGAGGAATTCTGGGCATGGAGCTCTGTGACTGGGAAGAGGGAACTGGAGTGGTGATGCTACTTGGCAAATGTTTGCTGTGAGCTCTGTGTAGTTTACCTCATTTAATCCCCAGAGCAATCTCACGAGCAAGGAAGGACCAGGACTGGAAAGGTGGCGACATGACTTCTCATTTGTGGCTCACCACTTGCCACTTTGCTAAGTGTCTGTGCCTCCAAATTTTCTCATGTGCAAAGTGGGGCTAGTGATGCTTACATCTGGTGTGCTTCTAGGGAGTTGGTG